TGGGAAGCTGTCTTTTCCGGGAAGCTGTTTGTTCCAGAGGGCACTCCATTGTCAGCTCTCAGCCTATAGTTTTTAACAGATTTGTTTGTGCTTTACAAAGCAAATCCAATTCTTTAGGTCTGAGAAACGCGGCTGCTCGTGGGATACAGCCGCTACTGCCTTTGAGAGACGCCCTTCCGAGTGTAACAGCATTCGAAATGCAAACCAACACGTTCACATATTTTTTCAGGGCAAAGCTCTGTAAAACCCTTAAGACAAATCCTGTCCCAAAACACGTTTAATACTAATTCATGGAGCGACAGAAGCAGATAAATTTTGAATTAACGTTGCTTTAGAGAAGACTATCTAAGCTTCCCCACTTTCTTAGTCCTTATGAAGAACTCTCTCCTGATGGAGCAATGGCTCCCAAATCTCTGCATTGTCAATGCTCAGAGGGAGATAGTGGCGTTGATGCAGGGCAGTGTCTTGGGGTGCTCAGAAGTGGCGCATTTGTTCAGAAAACTCAAGGAAAACAAGGTTAGTAATGTGGCAACTTCAGAGATGTAGGGGCCACAGAGAACTAGACAGCTCAAAGAAAGCGTTTCTTTCCTCACCTTTCTCAACAAAATTGTAATTGTTTTTAACACTTTGGGAGGCAACATAGTTTAGTAGTAAAGATCCTTAAAATATAGACCCTGGAGTCTCAGCTAGTTTTAAATCTCAGCCCTGCCAATTATGCAAGTTTTCTAACCTCTCTCTCTTCCTCAATTTCCTTGTTTGGAAAGTGGGGTTGATGATGAAAGATCTGACTTTGGAAGTATTCTATGAACATTAAATTGATTACTATGTTAAGAAAAAAAAACAACTCAGAAAAATCTCTGATACATGAAAAGTGTTATATAAACGTTAGGTATTATAACTATTTTCCTTTAATGCCACAAAAGTATTCAAGAGACACAAGTCGGCTGAAGTTCTAAGTAGTATGCTGGTGAGGAAAATAGTTATTTTGCTCAATTTTTAAAGTATATTGGGTCTTTTAGATATCTGCATTTCATTTAGCATATAAACTTTTTCTAAGATTCGTGTAACTTCACTGTTTGCAAAGTAATATCATCTTTATTTTTTTATCTTTCCTGTGATGTTGAATTTTAGAAAATAATATTGCTTTCTAATATTGATAGAGTTTGATTAAATTTGGACCATTTGCCAATCTAAACTTTCACAATATCTACTAGGTTCAGTCAATTTTACATGTGCACTTAAAACTCACAAATTATGTAACCAAAACCTGTATACCCCCATAATATTCTGAAAAAACAGAAAAAGAAAAAAAGCAACTCACAAAGCCATTTGTATCAGCCTATTTCCTTCTTGAAAGGGATCTCAAAGTTTCCAGAAAGTTCTACTATCTTTCTAGTTTCTGCTGTCTCTACATCGAAGCATCAGCAAATGTGCAGCATTTTGCTCTGTAATTGAGGTGTTGGGTGGCAAAAGGTTAAATTCAGTTCATGGAGAAATAAAGAGGAAAAAAAGTGATAGAAGGAAGTTGTAAGAAAAACATAATGGCTCAAGAAAGAGATTCACTGTGTGCTTAAATTAACAAAATGTATTCAATTTTATGGATTTTAAGCTGACTCTGAGATTAATTCCAAGAACTCTAGAAGATATTTCAAGAAAGTTGAAGGATTTTAAAAGAAATTATTATTTGACCACATAAATTACCATGTGGTTATGGAAAATATCTATTCCTTTAGTGTAGAACTTTAATAACTTTAAAAGCCAGTCAAATCAGGGTAACGATAATATATTAAGCAACATTTAGCTAATTCAATATAGAGAACAAAAATGAACAAAGTGTTTTTCTTTTCCCAAAATTCTACCAAGTTTAAAAATTCACTTATCAACATAGATAAAATACACAATAGAATGTACTAATTGACATCAGAGAAGTATAAAGTGCCACTGAAAATTCAAAAGAAGTGGTCACTCTTAATTGAAAGGCTTTCTGAAAGAGATAGCAGTTTGATTCAAATGACCTCAAAACAGTAGGATTTTAAAATGTACAGGTAAGAATGTCAGCAAAACAGAAAAAAGACCCTCCAAGTCATAAAATTTCTAGGTGTTTGGAAATACTAAAACAATCTAATTTCATAGAAATGCTGTAAGTAAATGGATGAATTATAAGAACTATGGCCAGAAAATGATATTGAAGTCGTAGTACAGAGGCTTCAGACGTCATAGTGAATTTGTGCTTGGTTTAATAGGAAATAAAGAGATAATAAAAGATCTTGAATAAGGGACCAATGGGATTGCCCATAAGAAAGCATTATTAAGCAATGGTGTAGGTGATGAAGAATTTTGACATAGAGAGTGACAATGATGGTCTGATTTCAGTTAATTGACCCATGTGTTGTGATGTTCCTACACCTCCACCTGGTAAGATTCTTCAACAGAAATACTGTGTGAATGTCCTGTTTCTACACTCTGAGTGGAAACAACTGGATGTGCAACTGATTTTGAGCTTATCAAATTGAAGAAGCAAACTGAAATTGTGCTTTATTAAAATTAATAAAAGCAAAAAGGATAAGTAATCTTGAGAAGACTTAGGAGAGAGATAACAGTGGCCTTTAAAAATTTGTAGAGCTACAAATTAACATCTTATTTTCAATAGTCCCAGAAGGCAGAATTAGATATAATAGGTGCAGATTAGCTTAATATTTAAAAATAAAAGAATTTTACAATCACGTTGAAATTGAATGGGCTTACTTGGAATTCAATGATTCCTCGTGCATCTGTGGCATGTGTTAAAAGCAGGTCAAGTGACTACTATAGGCATGAAATTTAAGGACAAATGAGTGATTAGACCCAGTAAATTTTTGTGTAAACTACAAATCTCTATTTTTAAAATTTGTAATTTTATGAGGGATTTCCTTCATCTTCTAAACTGTGAACTAAAGAATTTAGCTAGTCACAAAAATAATAATTTAATATTATATATTTTACTATAATTCCATAATACACAATTTTATATGATATTTACTATACTGTGTTTATTTATACAAAATTTACAGGGTACTATAGTCTATATAATTAATTATGTTTTATCTGGTCACTGACAAAGTCATAGAATCATATCTTGATCATACTTAAAACTCTAAATATATTACTGCTTAATAAGTAAACAAAATATTTCAAATTATAACTAATTGACTATGAACATGGGCAAACATGAATAGGAGAACTATGTGTGTTTATGTTATATGATTTCAGCTAATTAGAAATATTTCTGAATAGGCTAACCATTTCAGTACTTATTCATGGTATTCAGTGGTATTTTAATTATTTCCTCCCCAACTACATTCTAAGCAACCAAAATTAAGGTCAACTCAAAAGGAATTTGGAGTTGGGCATTTAGAGTGGATTCTGGAATCTCTCCTCTGTATCTATACTGCTCTTTTCATTAGGTTGTATAATTGAAGACTAACTAAATAACTAAAGTATGTATTCATGACATATCACAGCATTATGTAAAATATGAGAAATACGTTAAAAA